CTCTTCATCACCAAAATGCCCCCAGGTCTCTGGAGAACAGAGACCTGGGCCTGCTTCCAAGTTCTACAGGTCCCTGTATAAACCAATGACAGCCCCAAGTACGAGCTGCACCGCTTGGCAGTCATATGGGGTCACAGAAGAATGGTGATGGTGAAAAAGGAGAGTTTGAAATCACACAGACTCACTTTGCGTCTTGCTTCAAACATTTGGGGCAAGAAATGTATCAGTTTGGACCGTCTTGTACTCTCATCAGTAAAAATAAAATGACATTAATATCTATCTTAAAATATTGTGAGGAATAAATTACGTTATATTTGATAACGCATGCAAACCCATTAGCACAATGCCAGGAGCATAATGTGTCCAATAAATGAGATGGTGGTTGTTTATATTCTTGTTTTTACTCTTCCTCTGGTTGCTATAATTTGCCAGGGAGTGTGATTTAAAGTAAGGCATTTTGCCTTATTCTTTCTGAGACACAGTTTTGTCATTTGCAACTTAGAGACAGTAATTCTTCTCTTCACTTGGTTTAGTGTTCTTTTAAACCTAGAGGACTGTAGGAACACAATGATATGTTTCTTTTGTTTGTCATAGTTAGGATTATTAATATCACAGTGACCTCTGAAATAAGAAGATATGTTAAGAACCATTCCTTCCCTGTGCAGTGGCTCTTGAGCTTTTCTGTCTCAACGTGTGATCTAGAACTAAATCTGGGCCAGCGTTTATCACAATCTAAAGGCTCCTTTTTGCAAGTACAAGAAAAAGCATCGTGTTGGCTAGACACTTAAGACATAGTATGAGACTTGGAAATGGCAGACATTTTAGGCCTAAGTGAAACTCAACAACAATAATAGAAATCACATCTGAGGTTAAAATGATGTTCTTCCCACCAGAGAAAAAATAAAAGGGATATAAACTAGAAACCAAGTTGCATTCCCTAGTGGGTTCATCATACATCTTCTGTGTGAGTTGGGCAAGCTTTTCTCTATATTAATCCATGCTCCCCTTCCCCCCCTCTCCTATCCTTCCTTTGCATCTCTTTTTCATCCTGCTTTCCTATCTAAAACACATATGAAAAGGGATATAAAATGAACAAATAAGACAAACCCCCATTCTTTCATAGACTGTATATTCTAGCTTGAGAAGTGACTTAAACATATAAATAAGCTAATAGGTGCATTAATCACTGATTATGAACTCAAAGAAGCAAATTAATAGAACAAATGGCAAATCTCTTGTCTTAAGCTTATACCTGAAACAAGAGAAGGATCACTCCGTGAGGTAGAGAGATTAATAGCTCATAGCAACAGAAAATAATTCTATAAATTTGAAATATAACAAACAAGAGGACAGCAAAACTGATCTGTCCCGAAGTCCAGAGTTCTGTTCTAGCATTCCTGTGAGGATAAAACAAGAAACGTAAAGGGTTTCTTATCTCCTATGCTCTGTATCTTTTCCTTATTGAAAATGTCCTGGCATCAAGGACTTGATGACTGTGCTCCATGGGAAACCTTCTTTTTTATAAATATCTTGACTGTGTTCATGTCCCATAGTCTGGTAAAGGAATGATCACTGTCATAACATTTATCTTTAAAGCTAGAAGTCTGATCCTCATGGGTAAGGCCAGGATCCTGTTATGAAAAGGAAATGGGTCTGGCTGGTGTGGCTCAGTGGTTGAGCATTGACCCATGAAACAAGAGGCCACCAGATCAGTTACCTGTCAGGGCACATGCCAAGGTTGCAGGCTCGATCCCCAGTAGGGGGTGTGCAGAAAGCTGCCAATTGATGTTTCCCCCTCATCTGTGTTTCTATCTTTCTATCCCTCTCCCTTCCTCTCCCTCTCTAAATATATATATATATATACATATATATATATGTGTGTGTGTGTGTGTGTGTGTGTGTGTGTGTGTGTGTGTGCAAAAAAGAAGAAAAGGGAATGTGGTCAGGCCCAGATAGGTTCACTGGTAAATTCCACCAAATGTTTAATGAAGAAGTTATACCAAGTCTGTACAATCTCTTTCAGAGGATAGAAACAGAGGAAACACTTCCAAACTCATTCGATGGAGCCAGCATTACCCTAACACCACTAATTTTCAACACTATTCTGGAAGCTCTTACTATTGCAATGAGACTAGAAAAGGAAATAAAAGGCATACAGATTGGGAAGGAAGACATAAAACTTTATATCTGTGTTTTTTTTTGGCAGATGACAGAGTTGTCTATGTAGAAAGTGAAAAAGCAACACACACACACACACACACACACACACACACACACACACCCTCAGAATATAAGGTCAATTGCTTTTCTACAGAATGACAACTAATTTAAAATTACAGCACAACATCTTTTACATTAGCACACAAAATGAAATACTTAAGCATAAATCTATCAAAACATATACAAAAGCTATATGACAAAACTATAAACCCTTAAATAATGAAATCAAAGAGTAAATAAATGGAGAGATATCCCATGTTCATGGATAGGAAGTCTCAATATTGTTAAGATATCAATTTTCCCTATAGACTGCAATCAAAATAAAAATCTTAGCAAATTATTGTTTGGATATCAACAAATGAATTTAAAAATGAATATGGAGAGGCAAACGACCCAGAATAGCCAACATACTATTGAAAGAGAGGAAGAAACAGCTAACACTCTGCTTTCATTGGAGCACAGGCAAGTGTAACTGTGCCAGCATTTATACAAAAATGTTTCCATTTCATTCCTACCCATTCACTAGTATGTTTCAGCAAAAGAACTCAGGCTGGCCCTTTATCGATTACCTAAATGAGACTCTATTTCTTTCTGCATTGTGACAGCTTTAGTTGTTTAAAAATGCAACTCCACTAAACTGGTATTTCTTGAGCAACTACTATATACATGTTTCAAGTATCATTTCTCTTCATTCCATTTTTTTTTACAGCAGTCCCAGAATCTACTTTCTAAAAATATAAATCAGATAAATTTGTATCTGTCAACTTGGAAATGATAAAACTAAAATGAATGCATGCAGAGACAGACATTCAGATGCTGGGTAAAATGTAAATATTAAGTGTTGCTGAGAACACTTCATTAAGCAAATGGTCATATAAGTCAATGAGACTTTGAACAAAGTGAAGTTTCACTGTGTCTGATAATGGCTTTGAAATCGAGGATCTGGCTGTGAGTTCCAATTCTGACCCCGATTCTGTCACTGTGACTTTGGCCAAGTAATAGGACATTTCCTTTTTTTTTTTTTCTTTTTCCTTAAAAACCCAGCATTCTGCCATTTCTCCAGGGTCATCGAGGAGCCCAAAGGAGATGAAGTTTATGACAGACGCCCTTCTTCACTGAGGAAGAATATGTAATGATGCCCTAATTAGTGCATCATAGAAGAGTTCTTTCCTGTTTCCAAGTCTAAATTTAATTTTAAGCCCATGACCTATTTATGTATAAATACTACTTTTCTCACTTTCAAATGTATGAGGATTTTACTCTTTGGATTCAAAGAAAGAAAAGAGGGGCTTTAAATTTTTAATTTAATTAATAATTGACTTAATGGCACGACATGGACATTTATCTCAATAATGCTGAAAACTCATGAATCAAAGAAATGATACTATATGTGCATGTAGCCACATATTAAATTTTTTCTACTTGGAAATTTGCAGGCTAAACCACCAGATACAGAAACATACACACAAATGATACTGTTTTTTGTGTGATAATTTTCAAGTGTGCCACCCAACTAGCCTGTGGATTATAAAAAGCCTAACGAAATGTCTATAAGGACATTATTAAAATTTTTAAAAATAAAAAGATTTATCTTCATTTGCAGAAACTATTATTTAATAAAATTATGGTTCTAAAATCTGTACTACCAGACCCAGAATTATTAGTGGCAATAATAATAATAAAACATATTACATATAATATGACAATGTATTATATTAGAATACATAATAATATCTTTGTAACGAACTCTAGTGAGTAAATGTCAGCATCTGTTTTAAAAATGAGGAATCTAATAGCAAATATACTATCCATCCATTGAATTGTTACCATGTGTCATACACTGCATGGCTGGTATTTATTGCTTCACCTGATCTTGTTCATCACCCTAACTTTGATGGCGAACCTTTTGAGCTCGGCGTGTCAGCATTTTGAAAAACCCTAGCTTAACTCTGGAGCCGTGTCACATATAGAAATTTTTTGATATTTGCAACCATAGTAAAACAAAGACTTATATTTTTGATATTTTGATATTTATTTTATATATTTAAATGCCATTTCACAAAGAAAAATCAACCAAAAAAATGAGTTCGCGTGTCACCTCTGATACGCGTGTCATAGGTTCGCCATCACTGCCTTAGGAGGTAGATTCTGTACCCACTTTATAGATGAGCAAGTTGAAATTTAGACAGATGGATAAGCCAAGCATCTTACAGTCAACACATAGTAGCTAAATTTATTCTTAAATTTGATATTTCAATTGTCTGGATTCATAGACACTCTTCTCTCCAAACCCAGGATAAAAGCAGGTGGCAGACCATGGCTGGTTTGGCTCCGTGGATAGAATGTTGGCCTGCAGACGGAAGGGTCCCGGCTTCGATTCCGGTCAAGGGCACATGCCCGGGTTGTGGGCTCCATCCCCAGCAGGGGTGTGCAGGAGGCAGCCAATTGATAATTCTCTCTCATCACTGATGTTCCTATCTCTCTTTCCCTCTCCCTTCCTCTCTGAAATCAATAAAAATACATTAAAAAAAAAAAGCAGGTGGCAGGCCAGCTGTTAAATAGGTGATGTTGTACAAAGGGGCTGCAATTTGTTTTAATCAACATCAAAATGATGGCTGGGCTTGCCATGTACCTCACACTGCACAGAAAGAACACATTCGAATATTATTGATACAGGCAGTAAAGTACTTAACCGTAACATTTCATAATCCAAATCCCGAGAAAAGTGTTTCCCTGAAGCAATAACATGGTGAATAGAATTCAAAATTTAGTTCACAAACCTGTTTCTGGCTCAATGGAAAAATAAGGCTGCCCCTCCAGGATGCTGTACACCAACTTGGCGCTGTTGCCATAAACTGGGTCATCAGCATCGGTGGCTGTTACATTAGTGACAGACGTACCTAAAAAAAAAAAAAAAAAAAGAGAGAGAGAGTGAGAAAGATAATAATTAACACATGATTCTTGCCAAGAGCTAAAATTTGCTAAGCATATCCTACAGAACTGCATGTGTGGGAATAAGGAAGAAAAGAAGTCTTTTTTAGGATAAGGAGATAACTACTCCATCATAACTTCAACAATATCCAAGTTTTTCAAAAGAAAAAGTACTGCTAGGTTGAAGCGCTATATAAAGATAGCCCTTTTAGAATCCGTATTCTTGAAGATTTCTTTGTAGTTTTCATTTTTAAGCTACCTCTCCGACCCACGTAGGCATGGAGACTATTGAACAGGAAGCGTACCAAAGAAATATGAAACATAAGCTTAATAATACAATAGCACATGCAGCACTGAAGTTTTGTAAAAGCACAACTGAAAATATTTTAAAAATGGCTGCTGGTAAAATCTCTACAGAGATATTAAAGGGGTAGTTTATCCATCTTATTCCGTTCCTCAGAATATAAAATCAGGTCGGGACCACCAATTCATCAGCATGTTTAGGGAATGAGGCCTTATGGATAATAGAAGCACACCTTCTAATTTTTTCAGGATAAATTATCTATCTTTTATTCTCTCATTCATTCAGCAGGTAGCACATATGGCCTGCCTGATATAAAGCATATATACTAAGACAAAATGACAGGCAAGAAGCTCACAGTTTGGTGGGAGAGGAAAAGTTAGGGGCAGACAGCTATACCGGGAAATTCAGCTGAAAGCAGTAACACCAGATTTGGACCCCCCCATTTAGTCCAGCAGAGGGAGTGGCCAAGGACAGCTTTCTAGGAGACATAGCCTTTGAGTTAAATTATTCAAGACAGGCAGAGTTTAACCAGAAGTAGAGGTGCTTGGGAGACATGCTGAGCCATCAGTCAAATACAAGTGAAGGCAAAAGACTCAGAGAGACGGTGGGTAATTCTGTGAATGGCTGAAACTGGGGAGACATTGGAGATGTCTGGTGAGATCACAAGCATCACCTTCTACAAGGGCAGGGTCGGGGTCGTCCTGATCCAGGAGGTGTGGGACATATGGTAATTAGCAAACGTATATTGGCTCTTGGAATGAGCGGATGAATGAATAAGCCATGTGTCGATTTCATGAGGAATGGGAGGAAAGCATCACAGATGAATGTAGAGTCTGAGATAGTAGAGATCTCTTGCAGAATTTGTATTGGGGAATCCCCTTTGATCAGTATCTTGGGGAGGCAAAAGGATGATATTGAGCTGGACGTCATTCCATCACTTGGGCTGTGATGCCATCACATCAAAGGCCTCCGTGGACTCCCCTGGGGACTCCAGAGCTAGAATGTCATTGAGGAAATGGGGCCAGGCTTTTGGACCCCAGTACCGACCGGCTGTTGGCTACTGGAATGCCCCTGGGAATGCAGGCTGGACCAGACAGCCCCCTTCCGCTGAGGGAGAATCAGCCCTGAGCAGTCAATATCAACACTCCCAGCAATGAGGGCAAGACTGTTTCCAACCAGACGGAAGTCATAGGTGGATCTCAGCAGCGTACTTCTGTGTTTACTGGAATAAGGCAGAGCTTTGCCAAGATCTTGCCAAGTCAAATCTTTTTGGAAACATTTTTGATGACGGATGCTCCCCAGGAACATGTAACAATAATATTTGTTGAGCAGTTGATAGGCCTGTCAAATTGGAATTCCTACTCAGAAGTATGATTCAGAGGTTCTACAAAATATACAGTGAGAAAAAAAAAAGATGTGCTGAATGTCTTTCCACCCGGCACAGGGAACCATATAGAAAAACAAACTTAAGGCTCATGTTCACAAGCAACTCATCAACTAGCTGATTAAAACAAGCATGTGAAAGTACAATGTTTGTAGTTATTTGAATACTATATGGGATGGAGAAGAATTAGAGGAAAAACTTTCCAGGTGAGAGGAGGATAGTGAGATAAAAGTTCCAAAATGCTTCTTAAGAAAAGATATGACTGGAAGAGTCAGCCATCAAAGCTAAATTTGGGGATGCAAACTGAGAATAAGGTGCAGGGGGCATTTTTTGTTGTTGTTAACCCTCATCTGAGGATATTTTTCCATTGATTTTTAGAGAGATTGGAAGGGAGCAGGAGAGACAGAGAGAAATATCAATGTGAGAGAGACACATCGATAGGTTGCCTCCCATATGCGCCCCCGTCGTGGGACAGAGCCTGCAACTGAGGTACATGCTCTTGACGGGAATGGAACCTGGGACCCTTCAATCCTCAGACCCACACTCTATCCACTGAGCCAGAGTGGCTGGGCCTAGAGGAGACATTTGAATGCCAAGATAGGGAGCGCTGGCTTTAAAGAAGACATTTCATTAAGAGAGCAGTCCTACACCGTGGGCCTCTCTCTCTCTGTTCGTGCTCCCAAATTGGACTGGAGGCAGAGATGTAGATGATTAGATCAGACAAGTTATATATATATATGCCTAATATGCAAATTGTCCCCACAGGAGTTCAGCCAGGAGACCAATTGCTAGCTATGATGTGTGCTGACCACCAGGGGGCGGTGCAGAATGAAGGAAGGCCCAGGCCAGCAGCTGGCAGCTGGAGAAGGGAGACCCCGGCTGGCAGCCAGGGAAGGGAGGCCTTGGTCAGCAGCCGGAAGGAAGAACCCAGCCAGCACCTGCAAGGCTCTGATCGGCCCTGATCGCTGGCCAGGCCTAGGGACCCTACCCGTGCATGAATTTCTTGAACCAGGCCTCTAGTAAGGGGATAGATAGCAGCAGTCCAGGGAAGAGGAGATGAAACATTAACACTGGGTAATGACAATAAAGATGGACATCACTGTGAATTTTCTCCTTTTGGCCCTGTCCTAAATGTATGTAAGATGTCCCACTGGGGGTAAACTGAGCAAGGGAACTATTTTTGCAAATTTTCTCTGAGTCTAAAATTCATTCCAGAAAAGTTCAAGAATGAATTTAAGAGTCACTGAAAGAACCGACAGAGACTGAAGGGAGGGGTGAACTCCTCTGTGGGGAAGACCATGCCCCCATTTGTTGTTTTGCTGTGTTTGTTGCTGTCTTGAGATTTTACTTTGATTTTTTTTAAAGGAGAAATGTTGTTCCTTGTTATGAAGCATTATCAGAAAAATAAAGTCAAACACTCTACTCAGTATGGTGTGACATTCATGAGTGTGAACACACGGTTCCATTCACTGCAGAAAGAGAAATGATCAGAGAGTCTAAAGTTCCTGTCATTAAAAAAAATCCCTGTCATCAACAAATAAAGGTGACCCTTACATAAAAAAAAATTTTTTTTAAGTGTCTTTATAGAGAAAAATACAAATATGGAGAGTTTCTAAACAAAGCCAGAATTCCTGTGTACATATGTTGGGTGGGTATCTAGGGGCAGAGTAGCTGGGGGTTAATAGTTTTGCCAATGGAATATGTATCTTTCAAAAGACTTAACCTCTATCTCTTTGGGCAAATCATTTATCCTGTCTTAGTCTCAGATTTCAGATCTACAACATGCATTAGAGTTATTATGAGGCTTAATCAAAATACCATTTGCAGGAGCTAACACAGATTTTACCATACGTGATACCTGGGAGTCCCAACTACCAACCCTACCTACTTCTCAGAATCTGGCTTTGAAAACTACTTAGGTGCCTGTGGTCTCTTTCAGGTCTAAGGGATGGTAAAATAGGGATGGTGGTGGAGTGTTTTCAAAAATCTTCCCGGGCAATTCTGATCTAAAGCCATAGTTCAGAACGACTGTACTGGGCACCAGACTTCATTCTTCGCCATAGAAGTGTTCATTTCTATGGTGATTACTTTGAGGAACTCTTACTCAGATGTGTTTGGAAAATAAAGTATTTTTTTTTTTTTAGACTATTCACATGTCATAAAGAAGCATGGAGATGATTTCTTGTTAAGTGAGAGTTGGGGAAAGTCCCTCGGGAGTTTACAACCGTGAGACTGGTCATCATGATGTCTATTTTCGCTGATTATTGTAATGGGATGCTCTCTTATTGTGAGAGGCATCCCGTGGTCACATCAGCAAACGCTGAGGTGGGAGGAAGGAGAGAAATCTCTGTCATTTGCATGATCTGTGAGTCAGTCTTTTTCACGCGTGAAGGCGGTAATTTTTATTCTGCAAACCTCAAAAGATTTGTGTGAGGATCAAATGAGATAATATTAAGTATAAAAAAGGGACGGAGGAGATCATTTGGAGCCAAACTGTCTTGAGCCAGATCATTTGCTTCATATTCCACTCCCCACTCTCACTTCCCCTGTGTCCTCTGCCAAGTCACAAAACATGTCTCAGCTTCAGTTCTGTAATTTCTAAACAGGAAGGTGGCAGTCATTGTTACATGTTAGGCTTGTTGAGATAACTAAATGTAATAATTTATGCAAAAGATACAGAAGAGTTAGCCACATGATATTTCTGAGAGCTTCCCTTACATGTGGGAGACTAAATAATCAACTAATTTTATTCCAGGCTGGTGTGGCTCAGTGAGCGGTTACAGTTCGATTCCCAGTCAGGGCACGTGCCTGGGTTTCGAGCTCCCTTCCCCAGTGTGGGGCGTGGAGGAGGCAGCCAATCAATGATTCGCTCTCATCACTGATGTTTCTATTTCTCTCTCCCTCTCCCTGCCTCTCTGAAATCAACAAAGATATCTTTTAAAAAATAAACTAATTTTAAGTGGTGGTGATGTCATTTATAACTAAGTATAGTTCTGCCTAATTATTTTCATAGTAGGGTATTTTCTTACATTTTCTTACACAAAAAACACATTTCCAAATGTAACAATATGTTCATGTCCTTTTACAAAACACACACACACACACACACACACAATCTCACATTGTCCCACCCCACCCATCCTGTCAGTTTCCTCGGTATTGTAAAATGGGAGTGGGCCCAAAAATGCGTTTTGATGTCGTCAGCACCGAGTCAGGCACCGGGCAATGTCAGTTTCTCCATGTTATTTGAATGGATGTCGTCGCCATCTCCCGGCCCGTGC